AGTGAGTGGCATGATCATAGCTCTCTGCACTTTCCAACTCCTGGGCTCAAGGGATCCTCCCACTTCAGCCTCCCAAATAGTTAGGACTACAGATGCATGCCACCATGCCAGGCTAATTTTTTTATTTTCTTTGTAGAGACAGGTGTTTCACTATGTTGCCCAGGCTAGTGGTGAACTCCTGGGCTTAAGCAGTCTTCCAGCCTCAGCCTCCCAAGTGCTGGGATTACAAGCATGAGCCATGGTGTCCAGCCCCTTCTCTTGCTTTTGACTGAAGCTTCCATTTACTTACAGCTCAGTTTTGTGCTACTAAAAACAAATGCTTGTCACATGTTTCCTACCTGATTATCAGGGTATTTTATTTGCCAAACAATGATTTGATAATAGGAGTTAAACCTATAAACAGTGGAAAGAGCACTTAGTTATGGGTCCTTCTGTTCCATTCATTGATTTTCATTCATTCAGCAAATACTTGAGTGCCTTCCATATGCCAGGCACTGTTCTAGATACTCAGCATAAGTTGATGAACAAAAGAGGCCAAATTGATGCCTTTATGATACTTTTGTTCTAAGCCAGGGAGGCAGTCAATTAAAAAAAATCTCTATAAAATGTTAATTAGAGAGAGGTGCTGTGGAAAAAAATAAAGCAGGAGAAAGGAGTGCCAGAACCAGGGGTGGGGTGGGGAGGTGGGGGGTAGGTAGGAACATGGGAGGTTGTCATGTCAGGTGGTGGGGGAACTCTGATGACATGTCAACCTCTGATGCTGTGACATTTCTCTTTTTTAATTTTTTTTGAGTTGGAGTCTAACTCGGTCACCCATACTGGAGTGCAGTGGCCGCTCCTGGCCACTGCAGCCTCGACCTGCTGGGCTCCGGTGATCCTTCCAAGTAGCCGGAACTACAGGCAGGCGCTCCCACGCCCGGCTGATTTTTTGATTTATTGTAGAGATGAGATCTTGCTGCCCAGGCGGGCCTCGAACCTGCGGGCTCAGGCAATCCACTCACCTCAACCTCCCAAAGGCGTGGGATTACAGGCTGAGCCACCGAGCCCGGCTGTGACATTTCATCTGAGATCTGATGTGAGGGAGCAAGCCAGGCATGAATCTGGCAGAAGAGAATTCTGGGCAGGAAAAGCAGTTAGTGCAAAGAACCTGAAGTGGGAGTGTGCCTGGTGAGCAGAGAGATTAGGTGATGGGGCTGGATCATGTAGGGCCTTATCAGCCCCTGGAAGTACTTTAAAACAGGGGTCCTCAACTCTGGGGCAATGCCCGGGACCAGTCTGTGGCCTGTTAGGAACCGGGCCTCACAGTAGAGGGTGAGCCGTGGGCCAGGGAGAGTGGAGAGTGAAGCTTCATCTGTATTTACAGCCACTCCCCATCATTGGTATTACCACTTGAGCTCTGTCTGCTGTCAGAGCATTGGCGGCATTAGATTCTCAGAGGAGCGTGAACCCTATTGTGAACTGCATGCATCTAGGTTGTTTGCTCCTTGTGAGAATCTAATGCCTGGTGATCTGAGGTGGAGCTGAGGTGGTGATGCTAGTGCTGGCGAGCGGCTGCAAATACAGATAAACATGCGCAGTGAGGTTTGACTGCACATTGCCCCAGCCCCTGCCCCCCGCCCGTCCATGGAAAAATTGTCTTCCATGAAACCAGTCCCTGATGCCAAACAGATAGGGGACTGCTGCTTTAGAATACCCTGATGGAGAGGAAGTCCATTTGGCTGGAGAACTTCTGTTTACTATCCCAGATTCCCACCCCTTTTCCATGCTGCTTTGTAGACATGCCCAGGAGGTGGCCCTGCACTGACAGGCCCCCTTGCCTAGTGACTGCTAGGTGTATTTGGCCCTGGCAAGTATTGCCAGGGGTGAGAGGGGAAGACCGTCACTGCTGTGTTTCTTCCCTGCTACAGGTTTGTGTGGGCTGGAGGCCACATGTGGACTTCAGGCCACGCCTCTCCTCAGGGCCTTCTCCCTCTCCTCCTCCCTTCACACCTTCCAAGTGAGACAGGGACCAGGCACCTCTGAGTTACCAGCCCCTGATCCTGCATTTTCCCTTGGGGATTCCTTCCACTTGCCCACACCTTTGTAATATTTTCTTAATTAAGTCTCCTCAAATCACCCACTCAGACTGATCCATGACCAGAGGGTTTTGAGCCGGGGAGTGGCCCAGTCTGACTGGCATTCGAACAGGCTCATATGGGCTGCAGTCGAGAGACTGTGGGCAGGCGAGGGTGGGTGCAGGGATACCAGCTAGGGGCTATCATGTTTCCCAAGCGAAAGGTGACAGCAGCTCAGCTCAGAGCGATGGTCAAGGACCCAAGGAGGAATGGTCAATCCCAGGTGGTTTTTTGTGGAAGATTTCAACCTTGACAAGCTATTTTGCCAATGGATTTGATGCAGGGGCAAGGGGGGATCTTTTTATGCCACCAGAAAGCAGGATGCGGTTGTATTGTTGGTGCCTGCCTTATGTGCCATGTGGAATCAGCCCATTGCAAACACTCTGATTGGCCAGCAGGTTAAGACTGGCAGTCTCAGGTAGCAGCCTTGCCCAAAACAGGTGTTTACAAAAGCTACTACTCCTGTTTTTCTTTTAGTTTACTCTTGAACCAGGGGCAAAAGCATCTTGACAGGATGTCAAGTGACAACCAGCTCGGGTGGGAATATATTAGTC